CGGGTGGAGAAGCTGTACGATGAAATTCGGCGTCGCGGGAGGACGATCGTGTCTGTGATTTGGCGGGAAATTGGAATTAGGGTTGTGGTGATGGGTGTGTCGGTGGTTGAGAGGAGGAGAGGGGAAGTTACGACGGTTGGTTGAAGATGAAGGTAAGGGGGACGAGGGGTGATGATGATTAGTCGCCGATCTTCCACGATCGGACGGAGGAAGTGAGCTCTTCATGGTGTGAGTGATGCCAGTTTTTTTTTTTTTTTGTATTTCTTTAACAATTGATAGAGACGAAAGACAAAAGAAGATTCTGAAGAGGGCAGTGAAAAGGAGAAAACACTATTTATATAATAATTATTTTGTTTCTTTTTACTTCTCTTCAACTCTTTCTAGAACTTACTTTTTTAATTTGTGAAAGAGAAATATATTTGGGCCTTAAAGGCCTATGATGATTAATTAAACTAAAGCCCATATATTTGACAAATATAAAAAACAAGCACGAACCTACTTTTTTTATTTCTTAAACAGATGAAAGAGAACGATACTAAGGCCTTTAAGGCTATCATGAAGAGAAATATATTTGGGCCATAAAGGCCTATGATGATTAATTTTTTTCCCGAGAGTTAAATTAAAGCCCATAAACACGGGTCTGGGTCCGTGTTACTAGTATAAGTTGGCAATTTACTCTTCTGCTCAAAACCCTAGTATCACTGCCGAGTTGCGCCGCGAGATATATTTATATCATTCATCTGCTGTAACAGGAAGCTGTTAGTGGCAGTTTCAATCGGAGACGATGAAGGTAAGCTTATCTTCTCCGTCTTGTGTGTATTTTCTACGATTTCGTGCTGAGAAATCTGATTTGATTTTCGTTTTGTTTACGCAGTTCAACGTCGCAAATCCGACGACTGGTTGCCAGAAGAAGCTCGAGATCGATGACGATCAGAAGCTGTAAGATCTGTGATCCTTATTACATTGTCGTCTTTATAGAGTTAGGATTAGCTCTTCGTTTTGCTTACTTTTCTCTAATGAGTGTACAATGTGTAAGTTAGTAAAGTTATTTCGGAACGAACCTAGAAATTGATGGTAGTTACTGTTTTTCCCCGGACAGAACTTGTTTAGACGCGCTGTAATATTGAAATCCGATGTGTCTGTGATGTTCTGATATATACCCCCTATGTTCCTAAAAGTCCATATTCTAGTTTTTTCACACTTTTTAATAAACACATAATAAATTTGCATAGTTTTTTGTATTTATCTTCTTTCTATAATTTTAAACCGATAAAAATCAATTAGTGCAACTAAGTTTTTTGAAGTTTATAATTAGTTAATAAAAACATGCATTGAAAACGTAAAAAAAATGATCTTTTAGAAACAAATTTTTTTTTCTAGAATATTTATCTTTACAGAACTGAGTATTACTAACCAGTTATGAATCAACATGAACGTTACATTAGTGACTGTTAGTACAGAAAGGTTTTTGTTTTTCGATAATAATTATTTGAGATTGATTTTCGTTGTAATGTTTCAGACGTGCTTTTTACGACAAGAGGCTCTCTCAGGAAGTTAGCGGTGATGCTTTAGGCGAGGTGAAGCTTTCTACTACACGTTTTCATTGTTTTTTATTTGTCTTGTAAGTTGTTATTGAGATTGTCTGTTTGTTAACTATTTTGCAGGAGTTCAAGGGGTACGTCTTCAAGATCATGGGAGGTTGCGACAAGCAAGGTTTCCCAATGAAACAGGGAGTTTTGACCCCTGGTCGTGTCCGTCTTTTGCTTCACCGAGGTATTTGACTGTTTCTTTATCACTTTCTCTATGTATTTTAAATCTTTAAATTTCCTTGAGATTTAAATAAGTTTTTGTTTCTGTGATTAGGTACTCCTTGTTTCAGAGGACACGGAAGGAGGACTGGTGAGAGGAGAAGAAAGTCTGTTCGTGGTTGCATCGTCAGCCAAGACCTCTCTGTTCTCAACCTTGTCATTGTCAAGAAAGGTGAGAAGGATCTTCCCGGGCTTACCGACACCGAGAAGCCAAGGATGAGGGGACCTAAGAGAGCTTCTAAGATCCGCAAACTGTTTAACCTCACTAAGGATGATGATGTGAGGAAGTATGTCAACACTTACCGCCGCAAATTCACTAACAAGAAGGGTAAGAGAGAAACAAAACCATCTTTTGAGGTTTAAGATTAAATGGTCTCTTATACTTATTTGTTTTGGTGTTGTAAACAGGTAAGGAAGTGAGCAAAGCCCCCAAGATCCAGAGGCTTGTGACTCCATTGACTCTCCAGAGGAAGAGAGCTAGAATTGCTGACAAGAAGAAGAGAATCGCCAAGGCTAACTCTGATGCTGCTGAGTACCAGAAGCTTCTTGCCTCCAGGCTTAAGGAGCAGCGTGATCGCCGCAGTGAAAGTTTGGCTAAGAAGAGGTCTAGGCTCTCTTCTGCTGCCGCTAAGCCCGTTGCTGCTTAAAAACCTTTTTCATAATCAAGAGACTTCGCTCTCTCTAGTTCCTTTCTGGTTCGTATTTGAGTTGCTCCAAGGACATGTAAACGTGCTTTTGGCTCCCTGCTTTGTCTTTAGCTCTTAAACCTTTCTTTTATATCAAAGTTTTGAACTTTTTTGCTATGTTGTTCTTATTTGATAACCAATCACAGAATAATAACTGCTAAAAGATTCCCACCAAATTCATTTTCGTCTCGAGTTAACACTACTAAAAATCATTGCCTAACCGTGTTGTATTTGGTCAGGCCTTTTTAGTTACTGTAACTGAGGCCCATTATGCAACGATGTCGTTTCAAAAGCAAGTGCTTTTCCGATGTGCGGTATTTAGTTTCTCTATACTACAGTTTGTTTGATGTCTGCTTAAAAATTACATTATAACATCTATAACTCATGCATGATTCGAGTTTTGTAAACAGGTAAAGTAAAACAAAAGATCCAAACAATTATGAAAAACCCTAACTACAACTACAAGTGACCTTCCACTTCACAAGAATCATCTCTATATTATAAAAACTCGAATAGCTCAAGGACACTGATAACAATACACGACATTTTCTTTTTCTGCTAACCGAGTATCATGGTTCCACCGTGGTGGTCCAGACTAAAGACCGAAGTGAGTATAAATATGAAGGTCACCAGATGATTCACTGTGAACGGTCTTCGGTCCCGGACGCTGCAGTCCATATGTAAATTTTGCAGTGGCCAAAACTCAAACCTAAGAGCGAACATTCAGCTGAAACTCCTTTACCACATGATCAAAGCAACTTGGTTAACAATATGCAACATGAGTTTTGAAACATTACATTCCACAACATGAGCACATATACATGATGTGTCTACAATACATAGAGATAACGCAGGGGCGGAAGCATATATGAGTTTGTGGGATCAGGTGATCCCAATAAAAATGAGGAAAAATAAATATTGGTGTATATTTTTAAAAACTATTATAATATTTGGTTAAAATTTAGCATTTAACCCTATTAACTTATGTATAAATATTTTTATGACCCTATTAATTTAAAAATATATATATATATACGAGTTGATTTTGTATAATACGAGTGTGTATGTTTTGATTTTGAATTTGGTGGACGTGTTATAAGCTTGATGAGGTGAAAAGGATATTGAAGGAGATTGAGAAAGAGGCTGATGCTCTACGCGAGATACAAGCAAAGTTCGAAAAAGATATGAGAACTGTTCTAGGTTTTGTGTGGCTATTTCGTCTCACCTTTTCTCATGATGTCTTTTTTTCAAGTAATATTTTGATAACGTTGGCTAATAGTTTCGTGTCTTTCAGATTCTGCTAGTGTGGACGCAAATCAAGAATAGAAAGGGGGAAGTGGATGCTCATTCAGTTGGCAATGTATTAAACTTTGTATAGTGTTATCTCCAATGGATCTTTATGTGTATTACCATGACTTGCTCCTTTGAGAAGAAAAAAGAACTGTTTTCGATTTAGAATCAGAGTAGACTAAGTTGTCTTTATTCTTGATGTTATTCAATCATGTACCGACCTGTTATTGTCCAAAACTTTATGACATTCATAAAAAACATTTGCTGTTACTGTCCAAAACTCTATGAATTTGCTATTTTCATGTTTGTATTTAAAGTTAAGAGTACTAAGAAATAAACTGTTTAGTTATTTCAACCCAATTTTATTTCTTGCACACAAAAAAAAAGTGGTGAAAACAAGTTGAGAAAAGAAAATGGATAATTAAGAACATTTTCCATCTGGATTCGGTTGAAATACAAATATACAATGTGTGATGTAATTTCTTGCACTCGATCTTTGCCGCAAAATGCTCAATCAGTGAATTATTCTTTAACCTTTTTTTTTTGTGAAGAGAATTATTCTTTAACCTATCACAGATCCTTATCTGACATCACATATATCTTCTTTACTAATTAGTAAAACCTCCACTTGGCCTTTTTATATTATCGTTAGCCAGCCGATCACATGCTTCTTCATTTCTTCCATTATTTGCTATTGGCAAACAAAGAAACATAAATATATTATACAATATGGATGAAGGATAATGAAACAATTTCACATTCAGACTCTACAATGTATAACATCCATATATATATACTCATACAACATCTGTACTAACTTAAATGTGGTGGATGTTTGCTTAAAAATTACATTGATACGGAAAGTGTTACAACATCTATACCCTCATATATGATTCGAGTGTTGTAAACAAGTAAAAAGATCCAAAGAATATATGACAAAACCCTAATTACAATTACAAGTGACCTCCACTTCACAAAAATCATATCTCTCTATATATAAACTCGGATATTGGTGGTAAACATATACTAAAGAACATTGATAACATCACGCATATGAGTTATGAAACATGTACTGTTCTTTACATTGTATAACACGAGCACATATATATGATGTGTCCAACAATACATATAGATAGATACGCAAATACATTCTCCAGCAAATTTGATTTTTCATGAGTTCCTCCATAACATACCTGAAAAAAAAAGACAATGATGGCTAGAGAATATTGGAAAATATGGAATCATCCAATAAATGATCAGGCCATATAGCTGAAGCTGAAGCTCCTGATGATTCTTGACGGCTTGAAGAGGTCATGAGATTGCTATTGACATCTTCACTAATGTACTGGTTTCTAATCAGATCATCACTCACAACAGATGAAGGATCAAGAGAAGGTAACAAACTCTGATTTGAGCTGGAGGGATCCGAGAGCCAGATCGGAGACACAGGTAAGTCCTCTCTTTGAGTGAAGAAACTGAAGTGATTGTCTTGGGGGAAAACTGATGATACTCCGACGTTGGAGTTTAAGGTTTTTAGAGATGGTATGCTGTTGAAGTCCTGAAGATAGGAACCAAGGTCGAGATTATTGTTGGTGGTATAGGCTTCTTTGAAAGAGGCAATAGAGTTGAGAAGACTAAGAGTGTCATTAGGGTTTAGGAGGTTTTGTAACAATTTGAGTTTTGCCATCTCGGTTTGGAGTTTCAGTATAGTTTGCTCTTGATCTGTTTGAAACTGTAGCTGCATATCAACAAAACCTCTTAGGTTAGAGGACATAGACACAAGCTGAGATAAGCTGGAAATGACATCAGTTCTTGGACGATGAGTCATTGGGTCAATTCCCATATTAATCATCTTTTTCTTCAAATGAGTGTTCCAAAAATTCTTGATCTCGTTGTCTGTTCTCCCTGGTAAGTTGTTTGCAATCGTTGACCACCTTATAACCATCATCATCATCATAAGCAAACAGTACAAGAACACAAAACAGTTGACTATAAAATCAAAAAAGAATTAGAAGATTACTTGTTTCCAACAACTGCATGAAGGTTCAAGATAGTCTGTTCCTCGTCTGGAGAGAATCTTCCTCGCTTGATGTCAGGTCTCAAGTAGTTTGTCCATCTTAGCCTGCAACTCTTCCCACACCTGTTAAGACCTGCACGGAGAGAGAGAGAGAGAAAAAGAGACATATGCAGTAACATGAGAAGCTTAGACACAACAAAACTTAAACTAAGCTTTTAAGTTTTAACAAAATATAGAGAAACAACAACACAAAGCAGGTACCAGCAAGCTTGGGAAGAGCAGTCCAGCTACGATGGCCATGTTTTTGGACATAGTTGACAAGTTTCTCATCTTCTTCAGGAGTCCAAGGACCTTTCTTGAGACCAGAGTCATCATTGCAAGGAGATCTTCTCATGTTCGCTGATCTCTTGTACCTGTCTCTTTTCTTTTATCCTTCCTCCACAACCATTAACTGCTTCTTATTTCTATTTATATTAAACCTAGCAACCTTTTCTCTATCATGTCCATTCATCACGTGTTTATTTCCTATACGCGCTTACCAAAACAACCATGTCATTGTCACCCTTCAATTCCATTTTTCTAATCATTTTCTATTATTCCTTACATACGCTCCTTACCAGTGTCGTGGAAAAATCATTCAATGTAAATTTTTTCTTCTTGTCTTATCGGGGACAGCCATCTTCAGTGAACAACACAGAAGTACTGTTTCTCTGATTTGTCATTAACTGGGAAGCAGTTCAGCAGTAGCCATCAAACTATGCCCTAGTATCAAATCCTGCTTCTGTCAAGGAGAATAATAACACATAATTATTGATCAGTCTTTTCACAGTTGATTCCACACAAACAAAACACACGGATCAACTCAAGCCAGAAGGTTTTATCATTTATTATAAAATCTATATAAAATATTCTCTGATTAGGCAATGATGTAGGAGAAGGGCAATAAAAGTAATTTAACAGGATGAAGAAACTGTTAGTTATATATATTTAATCGTTTGAGACAAACAAAAAAAGAGAAGGGATTTGAGATAGAAGGCAGCGCCAACAACACATGGAAACAAAAGGGTGGCCAGAGAGACATCTCCACTGGCACGCAAAATAGTTTTCCTTGCATCATCCATTTCCATGGCTTATAAATTTATATATTATATATTATATATTATATTATATATATATATATATATATATCATATATGCAGCTATATTATTATTGTATTTTCTTCATATTTATCAGTTAAAGCTACGACCAACCAACCATACAAAATGCCAGTAATGAACCCTAAGAACTATTGTCTATGAAAATAAAAAATGCTTCAGGAATAGAAAACTAAAAAATTCTAGAGATATATATTATGAAGCTAATAAAAAAATCTGCAGAGTGGGTCGGATATGACATTGTAATTTCTTGTTTGACAGATCATGAGAAAGAACTGATATAGCAAAACTAAGGTAATACTTACAGAACTTTCCAGCCCTCCAATGCTTAGGAAGAAAACGTACCAAATGAAGAAATCTTCAAAAGGGAAAGCATATCATGCATCAGTATATCCTTTTGTGGAAACAAATACGTAACGCAAGAGATTGTTTTCACAGAAGATGTTAATAATGGACAGACAAATATGGAGGACAAGGTAGAAGTGATAAATTTTGGTATTATCATAAGAAAAACTTACTATTGATGATGGTGACAGATTTGATGTGGCAGATTTTGACCATTAGGGAGGAGCTGGTTGGGGGTGAGGTGGGTGCAGAAAATTATCTAATTTCCACCATCTTTGAAACCTAAAAGATCTTCTCCCTCCGCCTCAGTATTGCAGCCAATGGCATATCTTGAGCTCTTGTCTTTTTCTTATGTGTCTTTTATATTATGAAGATCAGAGATTTCGTGCATAGTTTCAAACTGCAAGACATAATATCAAGAAACAAAATCTTATTAAGAAACATAAAAATCAAACAAGAAGATGTTTTACCAAATGAGAGTATCAAATCTGTTAGTTTCTAGAACTCATATTAGTGTATACAGAAACTGAAGGTGAAAATGAAATATGATACTGAAAGTATGTACATTTATACCTTCACTGCGAGTATAAACATGCGAATAAGTTTCCAAACTATACTTGTAATATTTTCATGTAGAGTTATAGAGCCATATAAGAAGCCAATTAATGAAAGCCATTATATCAGTTTCATTATACAATGAGCCTCCAGGGAGGCATCCATTCATGTGTATGGTTTCATTTCATTATATCCCAGCGAAATAAACCTAGGATCATGTATCCTAGAGTTTAGAACGGTTTAAGCCTACGAGTATCATTATTATACCTACGCAAGATAAGTCCTACGAATTTTCAAAAGGGGTTTAAAAACAAGAACTCTAACATAAGTCTTAATTAAATTTGGGGAAAATGGGTTTGAATTGCTTGTTGAGTTAGGGTTCCTCGCAGAGTGGACCACAGTCTCCAATATAGAGGAAGCAGGTACATATATCACTAATTTTTTTTTTTTTTTTTTGTCAACACAGATATCACTATATAAATAATTAAGGAAGGCCCTAGGTTCTCACAAAAAATATTGTTTATGAAATATGTGATGTCACTTAAACCGCTCCTCTCATAACAAATAAAAAAGAATTGGTTGTAAATGCCAGCTAAACAACCGTATTGCTTCTTCTTCTAAATTTCTAAACAACGCGTTTAGAAAATTTGGACGTTCTATGCCAGCAATGAACATATTTACCTTTACCTAGTGTATGTTAACTTGAATATAACTTTAATCAACCTGAGCTTTCATCAATCAGCTCCAAAATTCCATAAAATCTATATAAGGTAAAATAAAACATAAATAAGGTGCGTAGTACTTAACTCTTGGTACTTAAACAAGTCAGATGAAACCAGAATGCTAGTTTTTTGGATATCATCACCAGTGAGGATTCCTGAAAGCATATATATGGTCTTAACTCTTAAGTGTTGTTTCTGTTAATTATCAACCACTACATGTCATTTTAGGTGGTTGTTTTTTACAGCTAAAGACAGTAAAAGACATGAGGCTAACAATGAAAGAATATGCAATCCAAGAGCTCTACCAATATATTACTTCGGATGCAACAAGGACATCTATCATGTAATGAGATACATCTACATCAACAAGTAAAAACAGTTGAAGAGGAATCATAACATGAGTAAAGTTTCACTAAACGCAAAGAAGAAAAACACTACAGAAAATGTGTATTTACTGAAGCATCTATAAAAAACCAGGAAAACTAATGATGAATTTATAATCTAGCTCATAGAGCAAGCAAGATTTTTATTGGGTATTCTATACATAATGCACCTTTAAGGCCAATTTGGTGAAAAGATAAGAAAATCTATATATTAATAATAAACCAACCACTCATTATAATAGTAAATAAGTATCATTTTTGCTTCCTCTATATATACCTAGAGTAAAAAAATGTTTTAAGTTTAAAAAAACAAAAGAAATGTTTAGCATCCAAAAAGGATGAGCAGTGGCTTTCTCAACTTGGTTCATGAATGAGTTTACTAAGATAATAGTGCATTCGCACTAGCTTCTTGTTCCAATTATATTTAGAGAGAATTCAAGTCTATCTTTATTATTTTCACAAATCTCCACTAACATCTAGATTGAACATATTTTCTTGAACCTATACCTTTTTTAAATTTTGAGCTTTACTATGAAAAGGAGATGAAGCCAGTACAACTACAAATCATAAACCAGACAAAAGAGATTTGTTCAGTAAACAATCTTAAAGTAAGTATAAAAAGGTATACTTACTTTAAGTGACAAAGTTAGTTAACTTTACCTGTCATGTGATAAAGGTAGATAGGATGTGTCATCTTTTTCATGAATGTTGTGCTCGGAAATATGATGTTCCCTAGACAGTCCCTTTAATATCACCAATCAACATAGCTAAAAACCAGTGATAAAACCATACAAATTTTAAATACTTTTACCAAAGTAAGTTTGTCTGTGGTTTGAGTAACCACATTTGATTCATTAAAGATTGTACTGAATGAATATACTATTTGATTAGAAGAAGAACTAGGAAGAATCATTTACAAACCTCAGAACCTAATTAAGAGAGAGGGAGAGAGTTGCCATGCCACTCGCCATGTTCTTTGAGTTCATCGTTTCCCTCACCAGCAAGCATCAAGCAGAAGACAATAAGAAAGTCTGAAAGATCCTGTGAAAATAATATTGTTGCTTTTAAGAAGGTAGTCACTAGAGCATACAGGCAAAATGTTTGATCTTTTCACGAAAGTACGAGTTTAAAGACAAAAAGACTGGGAAGCTTTTTGCATGAAAAGTAAGTCACATGGCCTGAACCAAAAAGTACGAAGATCTCTGCATGAATATACACGTAAGAATAGGATTCATAACAGATAATCTCGACAAAAAGCATCATAAAAAGCTGTGCAGAACTCTAAAACACATGGCTGGTAAGTCAAGTCTTTAAATTAAGTTCCAGTAAAGTACATAAAGCTATCTATGAGTAAACCTCACAAGTCGCCTTTAGATCTGCTCTTTGTCCTAAGCCTTTTGTACTCATTCTGAATTGGTACCATTTAACATTAAGGAAACACTGGTTTATCCCTTAAAGCTTCAAAATTATTCATATCTTATTCAAAGAAACGGAAAAACACACAGGAGGTCTCTCAAAACTCTATAATAACACAGAAAAAGATTGATGATAAGCTGGAAAGTTGGTCAATTTGAGATGCAGGATTAGAATATGTAAGTAAACAATATACTGTTTCAAACAAAAAACAAAAAAGAAAGAAAAAAGTAACTAAACAGTATACTCATAGATGTGAACAACAAATAAATTAAAGATGCCAACCCCAAAACTTAAGTTAATGTGAAAAGAAATCACAATCAATAATTTCTAATTTTGACGATTTCTCCCATATAATGTTGTTGTTGTACATAGATATTTCAGAATACCTTTGAATTAAGCTTGAAATAAACTATATATATTAGGTAAATAATCATGGACTAGAACATTGCTTTTTCAACCTGACACTAGAAAATCTGCAGAACCATCTTTTTACATGAGGCCCAGCAGACATGAGAATCAACACAGTTACTAACAAGCAGCACTACACAAAAAAACATGACATTACCATCCAGCAATTTTTTGCTAGCTACTAAAAAGATAAGATACCTGTATTGAACTGCAGTGACCTTCCTTTGGATAGCAAACTCCTATGGCTTGAAACTGAAACCTGGAAACATAGGCTTATCATTGCCACTGTAGACTTAAATATTATGTATCATTTATGGTGGAGAAAGTGGGATACTTGTATATGTGTTGAATTAAGAAACTCAAGAATAATTTTTATCACTGAAATTTACCAGAGTAGTAGGATATGATAGAAAGACTAGCAAATGTGAAGAGAATCAAGACCTAAACAATCACAAGTTGATAAGAACAAAGCACATGCTTAAGGAAAAACTATCTAGTCTCTTTTCAAAAGACCTAGCAAGATTATAGCTTCAACTTAATTAGAGGTATCAGTTTACCTCATACCAACTCAGACAAATAAATAAAGATCCGAAATTGCAGCCGGTGACCTTGTTCATCGAGAGATCGTGAATCTGCTCCACGTCAGCGGCAGCAACCGAGATCTAGGGTTTCTTCGCTCGAGATTTTTCCGGCTCGATTTCTCTTCGTCTATCTATTTTTCTTCGTTAGAGGAACCCAAAATGGTTCGTTAACACAGCTAATGGAGTGTAAAGCACGCAAAACACTGCATCTCTTCCATGAGATCTGACCTCTTGTGACAGACATTATAAAAACCCTATGGGAAAAGCCTAAATAAAATTTCTTAATCTTCCCGCCATATTTGGATTCTTCTCCATTTGTCGGTATACAAAATTTTATTTTATTCCCAAAGGAAGAAGCGGCCATATTTTTTTTTTAATTCAAAACAGAATATTGAAGTTTTTTAAAAAAGTAAAAAGAATGATGAAATCAGATGATGGGAGCAAAGTTCTAATACAAATTGTAATATTTTTTGAGCTACAGATTTGTTGTATGTGCCTGTAATATTATAGGCAACTCCTAAATTATGTTAAAAATAATATCACTGTGAAAAAGCCTTATAGTTCAAAATTAGATAAATGAGAAAATTGAACATGGAAAAAAATACAAGCTGGTGACTACATTTTTCAGGATGAAATTTTGTTATAGTTGTTTTGCTCATTGTTCACTAACGTAAAACTGATGGAACTGCATACACACACAAGGCTTTGTTCTGGAAGAGGTCAGAACCCAATGGGCTGTTAGTAGAAACCAGCAGCAATATGGATGGCAACAGTAAAAAGCTCCAAAGATTTGTTGCTCCTGCTTTTGTCTATTATCTTTACATTTGAAGGGCATGTGAGTTTAGTAATAAACAAAAAAATTAACATGAGATATTGAATCTCTTTTCTAACCTCTGTTCTGATTATCAATTGTGTAATCAGAACAGAGCAAAGCATTCTTTTTAAGCTTTCAAACGTCATTATTACACAGCTCAATATTGAACTCAAAACATCTTAAAGAAAACTAGAGATTCCAAGTAAACATCTCTTTCCTTACACCAGAATTATTTATACCAAAAACCTCCTTACTCTGTTGCTGTTAAAAAGTATAATTAATAAAATTTAATCAACAGGCGCAGCCACCACTTTGTTGATCCGCTTGAGACGAATGGTTAGATGACTTTAGGTTGACATCAACCATATCGCCTTGTTTGGCTGAAGAGAGTGTATCCATTCCTGGTAATGCTGCTGAAATCTTTCGGAATAGTGGCTACACGTTAACAAAAATACAAATAAAACACAGATGTTTATTGAAAGTAATCTCAAGATCCTTAAAACAGTCATGAGGATATAGATAGGTTGATTCTCACCTTGATGTTAAATCCTGCTTTTGCACTCGTCTCTATGAATATCACTCCAAAATCACGAGCTTTGTTATCTCCTTCCTCTATCGACACTTGCCTGTCAAAATGTCAAGTTGATAGCTAAATAAATGACAATGCAACTTATTCATTCATGGTTCTTTTTCTTTTAGGTGTATCGTTGGATATGATGTTTATGAATGTCAAGCGTGTCTTACCTCTTGTCAACAAGATCTGTTTTGTTACCCACCAGAACAATTATAACATCGTTACCTCTCTCTGTACGAACATCTTCAACCCACTTCGATGTGTTCAAGAACGATTGCCTATCTGTACATAAGATAAAAATGAGACTTTACAAACCATTCTTGCAAAATATGTGAGAATTATGATTTTATTCAGAGAAAAGATGTCTATAACAGGCACTGTCGATCCTGTGTAGATTGTAGACAAAATAAACTTTGATTGTAAACCTGAAAAGCTCTCAAAGAAGACTTACTTGCAACATCATAGACAATGACAGCAACAGAGGAATCTCTGATATAACTTGGTATCAGACTTCGAAATCTTTCCTGCCCGGCAGTATCCCTGTACCAACCACAATATAGTGGGAAGACACTTAATGAAACAACCACAATATCCCTGTACCAACCACAATATATATATATATATATAACTTTAAAATTGTATACTGCTAAAAGAATGAAAATTCATTAGTCAATAGAGATGACAATTTTAAAATTGTATACTGCTAATGCTCTCCAGCATACTGCTACTGCTTTATCATCTGCTGTACCAATCGATGCCTTCGTAGCTAGCATGCATTTAAAAGCTGAAAAACTCCAAGGACATATATATCTAATTACAACAAAATAAAACTAATGACCACTTGAGCATTCGTTGCTTCTTTGTATCTGACGTTTACAAAAACATATCTTAAGCAAAAAATTTATCTTACGCATTCTGGGAGGCCTTATCTTTGACTTAACACTCTAAATACATGTGCAAGTAAGTGATAAAGGAATAGCAAGAAGATGATGGATATACCATAGCTGGAGACGAAGAGTCCTATCCTCAAGGTACATTGTCTTTGACAAAAAATCAATCCCAATTGTTGCCTGCAAAATTTTCCCCACACAAAACACAATAACATAACAATATGAATCACATAGATTTAAAATCTAATCCACATTACACATGACGACACTCAAAATTTCGAATCTGATCCAAATCTCACACAAACACAAAAACACCATAACGATCGCGAATCACTCTGCGTTCTGATTAAACAGAAAAATTCCAAAATAGCTGTGGATCGCGATTGATTTTTTCGAGAGGAACCATTCGATCTGTGGATATATGGATTAGTTTTTAACGAACCTGATAGGTGGTATCGAATTTGTCGTACATGAAACGAGTGATGATGCTGGTCTTGCCTACGGATTGATCTCCGAGGAAGACGAGCTTGAATTTCGCTAATGGTGTCACCGCCGCCATTTTTTTTTGTTTTTTTAGCGATAGAGAGATGTCTCTTCGTCGTAACGATTGATTAGGTATTAGCAGATCTGAGAGTTTTCGATTTTTTTTCAGGTGAGAGTCGAAGACGACGTAGGTTTTGAGTTTTGACGCGTTTTATATTATGGGCCAACCGCGAAAATTATATAACCTTTATTTATGACAATGAAGAATTTTTTAAAAAGAAATTATACACCCTTCGTTTTATTTTAATTATCATTTTGTGTTTTTACACACATATTAAGAAAGCTTTCAATTTTATATATTCTCTAGAAAAAAACACAGCTAACTATACACCTAAATACATTTGTAAATTTTACATTGAAATTATAAAACAACATTTACTTTGAAACGAAAATATACTCTACAATGACATACAAATTGAATCGGAGAGTATTTATTACGTTAAATTACTCTCACTTTGCCATTTGTTAAAGCAAAGAAATAATTGTTGAAAAAAAAAGCAAAGAAATAATTGTCTTTACTTCAAAAACAAAGATAAATGTTACAAAGTTTCTTCTAAACTGCACATAAATCAAGTAATTAAATTAACTAATGCACACAAACAGTGAGGACAATGGTGATATATAACATGAAACGGCGTCGTGTTGAACCTTATCAATGTGAAATGACAACAAAGATGACAATGAAATACAAGCTGTTTGTTACACAAGCTTATGCAAGTTTCTGCCTTCTCGTATGGATCGTTTGTAACCCATTGTTACAGTTTTGTATGATGCAGTGAGGCAAGACAGATATATCTATTGTTGCAGCAATGCATGCAAGATAGTTCTTGGCCATAATTAACATAAGTTGGTTCTTATATTTAATTAAACACATCCTTCTTAGCTTTGTCAGAGAACTGTCTCTGTCTGGATACATTTATATTCACATTTTCAGATCAAAGGGGAATAGATTCGGCATCATCAGGCCAGCTGAAAAGCTCAGAAGACTGATCAAATCTGTGATAGAAGCATTGTACGTAGTTCCACGCAGAGTTGTTGCTTAACCAACAACTTTGAGGAAAAACACCCTTCCTGGTGTATAAAGCTTTTATCATACTGTATAACCTCTTTAAATTAATACTTTATAAATTAATATACACAAAAAAATCTCTATAAAATAATATAATTGTATAGTTACAAATTGAGTTTTTAGTTCAATTAGTATATCGATTAATTAATAATCTCTATAAATTAATAAAAAATTAGAATTTTGGTGTAGTCTCATTATTATTAATTTATAGAGGTTTCAGTTTCACTATACGCAAAATCTAACAGAAATGTTGCTAGGAAATGCCCTGACGTTCTCTATAGAGCAGTTGATATGTTTCTAGTAACTATGATCTTCTTGTGATCTCATCTCCAAGCCAAAAAAACAGTCACAGCTAATTGTTGCATCCTTGTTTCAGATTCATCTCACAACATGATAGAACAAGACTATGCAAAACGATGAAATGTGAAGGTTCATACACTAGCTGCAAAACTAACTATACATAAACGACGTCGTTGCAGAGTATATTAAACTATATTTCATTTCGTAATAAGTGTATAACCTATGGTAAAGTAACACCTACTCATCAAATTAAATTTTGTTTTATTCTCGAGAATCTTTCCCCAAGATTCAACGAGTCAAAAGCAAACTAGGGTAAATAAAAACCGAATCTTTTCTCTTTAGAAATAAAAAAACAACAATTTAATTGACAAAATCAACGGCTGTGATTGAGTCGAACCCACGTTATAAAGATCATCTTTTTCAGCAGCCATTTTCTCAGAAGCCGTTGTTGTGTTCTGTATTGCCGCCACCATTCGTCACCATGTGTGGGATTCTAGCTGTCCTAGGCTGCGTCGATAACTCCCAAGCCACACGTTCTCGTATCATCAAACTCTCTCGCAGGTATCCTCAATCAAAGCCCTCTCCTTTATTCTGTCTCCATTTCGTTTTCTCGATCTCCTTGGGCTGTGTAATGTTCTAAACGTTAATGGGTTTTTGATTTGGATGAGGAAAGTTTCAAACTTTATGGATAAAATGATGTCTTTGTTAAATGAAAAGCCTTTTATAGATGAAATGCATGTAATGGTGAAAGATTGATTGAATGGTTAAAGATCTGTTTGAAAAAAAATGTTTGTGTAGATTGAGGCATAGAGGTCCTGATTGGAGTGGGCTTCATTGTTATGAGGATTGTTACTTGGCTCATGAGCGTTTGGCCATCATTGACCCTATCTCTGGAGACCAACCTCTCTACAACGAAGACAAGACCATTGTTGTCACGGTACGTTTGACTTGTGTCCTGATCTCAATCTCTCAAATAATATGATTAAGGGGTTATTTTGATTTGGGACGCTTGTCTTGGTTTCAGGTCAATGGAGAGATATACAACCACAAGGCTTTGCGTGAAAGTGAAAGTCTGAAGTCTCACAAGTACCATACTGGGAGTGATTGTGAAGTGCTTGCACATCTTGTAAGTACCCATTTATTGCAAAGTTGTTTAGATCTTTGTTACCTAATGGTGGTTGAATTGTTATTGTGTTTAGACACTGTTCCATCGTTACACCATATGTTATTTATAATTGCAGTATGAAGAACATGGAGAGGAATTTATCAACATGTTGGACGGCATGTTTGCATTTGTTCTTCTTGATACTCGGGACAAAAGTTACATTGCTGTAAGGGATCCCATTGGTGTCATCCCACTCTACATTGGCTGGGGTCTCGATGGTGCGTTTCACACACCTCAATGGATTGAAGTGTGTTTTTTCCCTGTCTTGTTTGTGTCCTTTTCATTGATTACTCTTTTGTAAACAATCTTCCACAGGTTCTGTCTGGTTTGCTTCTGAGATGAAAGCACTTAGTGATGATTGTGAACAGTTTATGGCTTTCCCTCCAGGCCACATCTATTCCAGTAAACAAGGTTTTGCATCTCATAACAAGTCACATCTGTTTTATAGTAACTTCATTATATTCGTTGGCCATACTACAGAGTTCAAATTGATTTGAGTTACATTTCTTGTAGGTGGTCTTAGGAGGTGGTACAACCCTACATGGTTCAATGAGCTGGTTCCTTCAACCCCTTATGATCCCATGTTGGTGCGCAATACTTTCGAGAAGGTAAACTCTTGGAGCTCTCTATCCTTTTACATTGCTTGTGTAGTTACATTGATGATAATGTCATCGTTGACTTTTGCAGGCTGTTATAAAGAGACTAATGACTGATGTGCCTTTTGGTGTCCTTCTCTCTGGAGGATTAGACTCATCTCTTGTTGCTTCAGTGGCTATACGCCATTTGGAAAAGTCAGATGCTCGCCAGTGGGGTTCAAAATTGCACACTTTTTGTATTGGTTTAAAGGTCTTAGAAGCTTACCTGACTACTCAAAATGTTAGCTTTCTATGGTCATCAAAATTTGTTATTAACCTTAACTTTCTTTTGCAGGGATCACCGGATCTTAAAGCTGGTAAAGAAGTTGCTGATTATCTAGGAACTCGCCATCACGAGTTACACTTTACAGTCCAGGAAGGGATAGATGCCATAGAAGAAGTCATATACCATGTTGAGACCTATGACGTGACTACTATAAGAGCCAGCACTCCCATGTTTCTTATGTCGAGAAAAATCAAATCACTTGGTGTAAAGATGGTTCTTTCTGGTGAAGGTTCTGATGAGATTTTTGGAGGATATTTGTACTTCCATAAAGCACCTAACAAGAAGGAGTTTCACGAGGAAACTTGCCGAAAGGTAAACGCCTTTTAGTCCAGAAAATTCTTGTGCTGTTCTGTCCTTTTGTAAACTTCTGAAACTTGTATTTTTTTTGTGTGTGTGGTGCTGCCGCAGATTAAAGATCTTCATAAATATGATTGCTTGAGGGCTAACAAAGCAACGTGTGCATGGGGTGTTGAGGCTCGTGTACCTTTCCTCGATAAAGAATTTATAGATGTCGCTATGAGCATCGATCCAGAGTGGAAAATGGTAGGTGGCTTCCTTCTCATCGTTTCATTTTTTCATCTTTCTATGTCACACGCAGCAAAGAGTGTTTTCTCAATATATAACACTGTTTTTGGAACATTTTGAGTTACATATCTGGTCTAAACTACAATGCAGATCAGGCCTGATCTCGGAAGGATCGAGAAATGGGTGTTACGTAATGCCTTTGATGATGAGAAGAATCCTTATCTACCAAAGGTTTGTGCTCCCTGCAGTTTGATGAAATTATGCAGCATTGCTTACAAATTCTCTCATCTTTTATGGTAAAATGCAGCACATTCTATACAGGCAGAAGGAACAGTTCAGTGATGGAGTTGGGTACAGCTGGATTGATGGTCTGAAAGATCATGCAAACAAACATGTAAGAAGAAGATGTCTTTTTAAATTATAGTAAAGAATCTTAATTCACAGCTCAGTAATGTGGTTCTTGGTTAGGTCTCTGACACAATGCTGACAAACGCAAGCTTTGTATTCCCGGATAACCCACCTGCAACAAAGGAAGCTTACTACTACAGAGCCATCTTTGAAAAGTTCTTCCCTAAGGTTATTATTGTTTTACATCCTCTTATCTTGTATTGTCTTTGGTTTTTGCTCTGAGATGTTTTTTTGGAATATATCAGAGTGCTGCTAGAGCAACTGTACCAGGAGGTCCAAGTGTAGCATGTAGTACAGCAAAAGCTGTGGAATGGGACGCAGCTTGGAAAGGGAATCTTGACCCGTCAGGTCGTGCGGCTCTTGGAGTTCATGTTGCAGCTTATGAGGGAGATAAAGCTGCAGATGTTCGTCCTGAGAAGCTACAGAAACTGGCAGAGAAAACTGCAGAAGCCATTGTTTGAGGATTAAACAAAGGTTTAAAACAAATGTTTGCATTGCGCATTTCTCTTATTTTCTCAAAAGACAATACGTTATCATCTTCCGTAGGGGTCGTCAATAAGTACAATAAGTTGTCTCTTTAACTGAATTGAGTTAGGAGTTTCTGAGGATGTACCTAAGTTGCTGGTGA